GATATTGTCTGATAGCTGTCTTTAACAGCGCACCTGCCTGTCCCTGCAGCATTCCAAGCCCATGTAATCAGCCCCTTAGATGCTGCTGGTTCTCTCTTCCTTCAAAGCTTTCCTTACAATCCACCTCTTCTAGGGCACCTTCAGTACAACTACTCTAGCATCAGGTACTCTCAATGTCATATGCCGTTCCCATCACCCCCAAAGACAGGAGTTAGAATCCAACCTCTGGAGAGTGCCAGGCTAGGAAACACGAATCTACTAAAATTTACCCTACGTAGATGCCACTGAAATGAACGTACCCTCTCCCTGCAATTAGCCACAATTCCCTCTTACCCTATTCTATCTATCATCCCTCCTGGAAAATTTTAGATAGTGAACTCTATGAAATGAGCACTTTTAAAATATACTACTTTGTGAAACACATAAAAATAATTGTAATGATGATGGATTGGGGTGCGGGTGGGGGGAGAGTCTCAGACTCACAGATGACCAGCTATACACAGAGCATTTTATGTGACTCGGGGCATGTTTGCATACACCACATTCATAGCACATTCAGACAGCCCACTCAGGATTTTCCCTGAGCGTTCCCAAATGCATTGCTACATATGAATGAGCAATTATGTTGTACAGGCAAGATGCAAAGGAATGAACTGAGCCTTGCTCTTAGCCTCCATATTCTAAATCACCCTCCTAACTGCTTGAAATCTATCCATCATGGCGTAAGGTTGGCTACATAGCTCACTACGGTATCTGCCAGAGGCTGAGATTCTGATTCCTCACTGTACTTCCCAGGAGAAAAACCAACCTGTGTAACCATGGGCAAATGGCACAGTCTCAGAGTGCCCTCTAGATAAAGAGAATGGTAAACCACTTCTGAGTATTCTAAGGGTTGCTATAAGTTGGAAGCACCTTGAAGCACACTGTTATTGTTGTTACTGCTGTTGTTAGATTGGTTTACCACCACCAGTTTAAGGTTTTTCATCCTTGATGAAACAGACCAGCTGCTGAAAACATAATGAGTCAGGTTTATAATTTCAGTGTATTTTCCTCCTTTGCATAAATTACTTGATCACATTTCATGCTTGATCAGATTTTTTTTTTAAAAAAAATAACTTATATGGATGTAGTCTCTGTTACAGTAATCAGTGTCCTAGCAGCATGTATGTTTAGGTTTCCAAAGCACTACAACTCCCATCCTCCTTCACCACTGCTATGCCACCAGGGGCTAAGGTGGGATTAAAAGTTAACCACATCTGGAGGCAATGAAGTCTTCCATCTGGACTCTTGATCTTGCCCTCCTTTTTCATAACATTAAAGCAAACAAAGACCACTCTTATCTTGAGATGATAGAGCTGAAATCACAACTGTACAAATTCAGCAACAACAGCTGGATATCTGCTGTGTCTGGGCAACAGCCAGGTGTTGCTTCCCAACCCCATGAGAACTGAACAGTACAGACTGCACTTAAAATGTCCTGTAACAAATGCCTCATCTACAGTCAGGCATTTACAGCCCCCAAGACACTTGTTCTCACTGTGCACCAAAGACGAAATGAAAACAAAGCTACAAACATCAGCCTTTCTAAAATATAACTTTAAACTGCTAGTCTGGAGTTTAGACTGAATCAGGATGGCGGTGCACACAACACAAAGGATCCAATATGGCAGCTGAAGTGTCTGAGACATATTTGTAGAGATAAGCGATGCCCCTAAGCGCATCACTAAATGACACTCAAAAACAAGGCCTAGTTTTCAAACAGAGGGTAAAGCTATATCTGCAATCTTCGCGTTTTGAATTACTAAGTCACTGAACAGTTATTCTCGCACACAGAAAGCGAGGGTGCCAAGGAAAAAGGAAAGAGTACGATGCACATTTTGTCACATACACCTCCCCATTTTTCCACACTTCCATTACACTAGAAAATAGTCTCTGGCATAGGACTTTTTTTGGATTCGTAAGGGTGGGCAGCTAGGGAAGCTGCAGAGAGATGGGAAGAAGTGTAACAGAAAGAAGAAAGAAACAAAGGCATCACACTCAGCTGCCTTGTAATATTACTCTTAAGTTCAGAAGTACAAACAAATGAATTTCTGGAGGACCTTTAGAATGTGGCAGAAAAATGGAAGCTGTTTTCATGGGGACATAAAACTTTCGAGAATGTTAATGGCAGAGCCGTAACTTCACCTTTAAAGCCCTCAATAGCTTGGGGCCAGGTTTCCCAAGTAACATATCCTTCTATATTGACCTAACAAGGCAAATACCTTTTAAAAAATCTTAAGGGCTCCAAACAAGGCTCAGTCTTTGTTCCAGTGTCAAAACCGCTACAGTACAATCAAACAAGGCATGTCGGGCAGATCCATCAGTGGCCTTTTCAGTGTTAACATCCAATTTGCAGACTGCCCTCCCCTTACCTATACACTACACTCTTTAATATATTCGTTTAAAATGGGCCAGACTCTGCGTACACCTCTTTTAGCGCTTTTCGCTCTCTGCAACCTTTTAAATTCTTGCCGCTGGTGTTTACCTTTCTTTCACCTGTACTGCTTTTTTAAAATCCTTGCTGCTGCTAGCTTCATCTTGTTTTTTCATCTGATTTCCTTTATTGATAGTTTGTACTTGATGTTTTTTTAACCTGTACCCTGCCAAGAGAACCCTTGGTTATTAGGCCATTTGAAAAATGCCATAAATGAATCTGCACGAACAGGTTCAAAAGCTACAACCAGCCCTTGCAAACATGGCAAGTGAGCAGAAGTTGAAGCGGGGAGGAGAGAGGACTAATCCCCAAATCAAAGCAATGGGAAGGTTCCAGTTCATGAAGATGACTGCCCTGCTGGTTAAATTTGACCAATATTGGCCAGTGAGTCGGGGAGCAGAGAGGTTGGTAAAGCCAAGAAAAAGCCCTCCTTCCAGTCTCCTTCCGCTGAGATCGGCACTGACTTCAGGAGCCTGGCTAAAGCCAGCAGCCAGCTCTTCCTCAGTTATTAACTGTGATCTTTTATTAGCTGTTAAGAGACTGGTGCTGGCTCCTCCACGTAAACTCCCCGCCATGGCAAATAGAAGCAGATCCCTAACACATGTGCATGAGTGCACCGTAATCCTTTCGTTCCAGAAAAATATCTGTCATCAGAGTGATCAGCGACTTGGGATTTCCAAAGGCAAAAAAAGCAACGCCCAAATATATTTTCTCCAGAAAGATAAGGCATGTGTGTGTATTTATCTCCCCCACCTCTGGAAAAATCAACTGGGTCAAGACGAAGCAGACTCTTCCCTAAAACAACTCATGCCACAATGAAGCAGCAAATCTTTAAGGACCCTTTGTTGTGTAAGCTACAACAGGTTAATGCATCCTGGGTGAAGTCAAGGCTTAAAACTTTGCCAGAGTTCATCCAGGCTTCGATGCAGAATTCACCTTTATTCCTAAAATGTGGGGAAAAAGTAGCAGTGGCTTTGTGTGTGGCTTAGTGTCTTCTCCTTAAGCATTTCATCACCATTCCCATAACATCTGGTGTTCAGGGCAAAATTTTAGAGATTTTTTCTCAAAGCTCATGTAGACATGCTTTTAGGCAGCATGTCTACATGGAACTTTGAGAAAGCAGCCAGAGAAGGGTCAGAGACATACAAACCCTCCTGCTTCTCTGGCCCGTTCAGGCGGCTTGATCTAATCTGGAGATACTGTAGATGAATTTCATCCTGCACAATCTGCTACTTAGTAGATGACTTCCCACATTCCCAAGGGTGCAATATTGCAACAATGCATCCTTTCAAAATAAAGAAGAAGAAAGAAAGAAAGAAAAAAGTAAGTAAGAAAGAAAGAAAAAATCTTGACAAAGCTCAAGGAGAGTGAAGGACAAAGCACACAGAAGAGAAAGTACTGTATTTTAGAGAAGGGCTGCTTTTTTTAAAAAAAAGCACACACCAAATCAACTGATTGTAGTTCTAACTTGGTAATTTTCTGCTGGCTGATTGCAATACTAAGATAGAAAAAAAAACTTTAAAAAGTTTTATTTTGATATAAACTTTTCACGGATTTCATTGCCCTCTTCAAAACCTCAATGCTGAAGAGTATTAAAAGACTGAACCATTCCCCTTTTCTCTTTTATGAGGGTACAGGTTTGGGAATACAGATGGTGAAAATTACCAAAAATATATACTGTATAGCGTTTATTTGAGATGAATCAACAGAGTTCAATCTTGCCAGCCTTTATATATAATGCGAACACAGTTTTCTCACTGTTTTGTAATCTCGGAACATAAGATTATTCTTCATTCTCATTGCACCTCTAAAAAAGGGTGCGTGCACAGACAAACAAGACACACACGGGCACACAATTGTATAATTCAAAGGAATCTGGAATTACTTCCACTTTCCAAGTAAACCGCATCCTCATTAACATGGATCCCTCTTTAGCCTCAAAAACACATTAAAGGGAAAGGGTGTGTGTGTGAAATATTGCTACTGCACAACCCTTTATACGCCTAGTCAGAACTAAGTGTCCTTGATCTCCAAGGCCTTCGGCTACCATCCTTTCCATCCTTTTCAGTAGCCATACCTACAGCTGTGCTATTAAACATTCCGACGACTAAGTAATCCATGTTAAGTATGGTCTGGAGGATGTCTTCCTGCGAGTAACCAGCGATTCCCTCCCAGGACCTCTTCAGACGTGATCTGGAACCAAGCTTTCCTTCTGCACGTGTGTACCTGCCCATGGCGTGTTCTGTTCCGCTACAACTCCCGACACTTCTAGTGGGCGAAGGCATCCCGCAAGTAGTACTCGGAGTAGTTTTAAGAAACCTTTCCACGATCAGGTGGCCTTACAGAAAGAAGCCACTTGATACGAATGAATTAATAACTCCTCAGCCTTCCAGAACAGATGCAGCCCTGACAGTCATCTGAACCGCAACTCTTGCCCGCTTACCATTGCCAAGCAACCTCGGGTCTATCCTTCCACTGTCCCGCCAAAAGAAAAAGTAAAAAAAAACAACCCTTGCGTGACTCTTACCTATCAGGAGCCCAACGAGCCAACAAGATCGGAGCATCGCCAACGTCCGGCCCCCGCGTGCGGAGGAGATCTTTGCAAACGGGTCACCCCCGGGGGAAAAAAAAACAGCCAACGCGTTGCAAACGTGGTGCTAGCGAGAGGAAGGAGAAGAAGAAGAAGAGCGGGGGGGGGGGGAAAAACAACCAGCCAACGCGTTGCAAACGTGCTGCTGGCGAGAGGAAGGAGGAGAAGAAGAAGAACGAAAGAAGATGCGGAGGCGGGGGAAATATCAAAAGGAGGTTCAGCTTTGGCGCGCGTTGCGTCGGCAGGGAAACGGCCCGGGATCCATGTGCTGCCGCCGTCGCCGCTCCAAATTGGGGGGGGGAGAGATCCGCGGACGGGACGAACCGAAGGCCGGGCGGGCTGGGCGGGGAGGGCGCGAGCAGCGCAAGCCTCTCCGCGGCGATAATGGTCCGGCACGGCGTGTTCCCGACGCGCGAGCGACTCGCGGCTGATCGTTTTAATGGAGCTGCTTGGCCGCGGGCAGGTTCCGCGGCCAAAAGAGGTGGAGACTCCGGGGCTCGCGACGGGACGCTCTCCCCATTCCACCCCACCCCACCCCGCGCTAAAAGCACGTTTCCTATTCAACCCCGAGCTCACGAATTGCTTTCCTGGCCTGTGTCCCCTTCCGAGCGGCTCGCGCCGACCCCAGCTTTTCGGCTACCCGAGGCCGGGACGGATAGGACGACGCCTCGCCTTAGTTATTCGTTCCGTTGCTTTCCCGTCTCTCTCTCTCTCTCTCTCTCTCTCTCTCTCTCACACACACACACACACACACACACACACACACACACACACATACTAGGCGGCTCACGCCACGATGAAAGCAGATTAAAACATATAAAAGGACGTAGTCCTTGCGTGAAGATGCAATCAAGCTAACATTTAGAATAATAGCAATAATGTGCTGTCGAGTCAGTTCTGACTAATGGCAACCCTTTCCAGGATTTTTGAGGTAGGTAATACAGTACACAGAAACGGTTTACCCTTTCCTTTCTTCGGGGGCACCCTGGGACTGGGCAGCTTGCCCAAGGCCACACAGGCTGGCTTTACGCACAGGAGGCACCATGGGGAATCGAACTCCCAACCACGGGCTTCGCAGCCCGATACCTCACTCACTTAGCTATCCTGTCAGCGAGATATAATATTGATTTAAAGGTGATAAAATATAAACAATTAGGTCAGTAATGCCCAAAGCAAAACAAATTATGTTATGGGGCATTCTTATCTATCTATCTATCTATCTATCTATCTATCTATCTATCTATCTATCTATCTGTCTGTCTGTCTGTCTGTCTGTCTGTCTGTCTGTCTGTCTGTCTGTCTGTCTGTCTGTCTGTCCACCCCACCCTGTTCGCCACCACTCTGGGCGGCTAATGAAACAAAATAGAATAGACATAAACACACCAATACAAATACAAATAAGGTACCACATATAATACAATAACTTTCAAAAAACAATAAAATTACAAAAGAATAGTAGGCGGCTGGCAGAGAGAAGTTCATGAATGCAAAACAGAAATAATCAAAATATAATATTAATTCATTATACCCCCTCCTTTCTTCCAGTGACCTGCAAGGGGCATACATGGCTGTCAAAGCCAGCCAGTGTGTGTTCCATGGGCAGGTGGGAGTTTTAAGGCAGGTCTCTTCCACCGCCCTGACCATTATACCACCCAAGGCATTTGAGATAAGATCTTTGCCATCTTTCTCTCTGGCAGAAAAATATTAGTAACAGTAACAAAACAAAATTAACAAGCAAAATCACTAACAATGCACTGCTGCCTGAGGCACATGCCTTACTCTGCCTTATGGTAAAGCTGGCTGAGCACATACATGTTAGATAAGATGGCCCTTGCTGAAAAATAACATCCTGTGGGCAAATATACATGCAAAAGAGCAGGTAAGGGATGGTGGGGGGAGTTGACAAAAATCAGTGACATGGGGTGACCTACACACAGCTCTAAATTCCCAGGAAAGTCACCTTGTTATTTTGCCGCATCAAAAATGGCAGGTTTTGTTTTTGCTTTTTTTGTTCTTGTTTTGTAACCTCGCATGCTGTCTGTGGTTTGACAGTGGGGAACTTTTTCTGGTCTGGGGTGATGGTCTGTCTAACCCTAATCAATAATTCCTTCCAGACTTTGAATTCAAAGAGAGCGCCACCTCTCTGTCTAGTGCTCCTTTCCCTTTTTTCTTGGTTGGTGGCAGTTGTTCTGTTTGCTCTTGTTCAGTTGGTTGCCTCTGTCGTGTGCAGTAAAGAAAGCAGCATACATAAGTGTGTCATTTTGAGCAATAGTTCAGATACCTGAACTATTGAGCTATCCAGCAGTTCTACCAGTTTTTTTAAAAAGAGGTGGACTTTAGCGAACTTGTAGCTATTCTCATCTGTGAGTCTCTGTATTTTCTACTGTGTAGCAAAGGGATTTTTTTAAAACCAGAAATTCAAAACTCTACAACAAAAACAACAGTATTTGGGCACCTGGAAGACTAGCATGTTTTCTTGGGCACAGGGTTTGTTGACTGCAGTCCACATCCTCAGCAAATTACCCTGTTCACAAAATATTATCAGCTTTCTCTGACCTGGTAGACCTCCAGATGTGCTGGCACTACAAATCTGACAAATCTTTCGTATTGGGTTGTTTGTTAAAAGCCTTCAAATGAGAGCCAACCTATTGGGCTTTCAAGCTAAGTGAAACATTTAAGTGGTTTTACCAGTTCCAAACATCCCAGTGAATTTTCATGGCCAAGTGGAGATCCAAACCCAGCTAAGGTTCAGACTAAACCCACGTCTCTTGAGTCCATCACTGTATCCAAGACAACATAGCTATAATGCAGCTAAAGTAATGTGGAAGGGATAGTATATATACATGTGTGTGTTAAAAAAGATCACCCTGTCTAGAAACACCTGCAGAGACCAATACCTGCAAAAAAGCAGAGGTGAGTGGATGAAGACACAAATCGGAGATCTGATATTCATTGGTTGGGGATTATGAGAGATGTAGTTCAACACATTGGGAGGGTATTAGGCTGAAGAAAACAAAGTTCTAGCAACTGCAGAAGAACAGGGGGGAGCTTAAATTCTCAGATTAGTGGGAGTTATAGACAAACCAGGACAACTCTTTTTATTATTTTACTGGGTTAATTTTTCAAATCTTGGCTCACAATAATAAGCCACAGTCGGAGGTACCTTAGGAGAAATGTATTAAGCAGGCTTATGTGTTTATTATACTCAGCCATGCTTTGTTCAAGGCAGCATCTTCGGATCTCTGCACATACTTCTCAAAACACCCCAGCAAGGTAGGTGAGGCAGAGGGAAACATCTCCCAAAGGTGGATTTCATGGCTCGGGACAACATGGTAAAGGACCCTTCCTGTGACAGGCACACCACTTTGTGGCTCATGTGGGTCAGTCTGTATGGCACGGATGTAAGTGGTGTTGGGGACTTGCTGGAGAGCAGCCTTTTACATTGAGCATCACCTGGTCTAGTCTAGGACTTGGAAATGGACCAGCAAGGCAGCCAACATTCCTCTTCCTGCCTCTTGTCTCCCCTTCGCTTGCACGCCATTCCCACCAAAGCTGCTTCAAGAGGTGATGCGGCTGTTGAAAAGTTCGGTGTCTCCCAGAAAGAGAGCGAGGGGAGATGCAGTACAGACAGTATATTTTTTAATAGATTCATTAGCATTTCAGAGGGGCTCTCTCTCTCTCTCTCTCTCTCTCTCTCTCTCTCTCTCTCTCTCTCGTCTGTGTGTGTGTGTGTGTGTGTGTGTGTGTGTGTGTGTGTGTGTGTGCGTGCGTGCGTGTTTCCAGGGAATAAATGCATGGCAGAGTCTGGTCAGTGCCAATTCCATCTCCCCCCTCCTTTATTGAAAAGGCTACAGCTGGCTTCCCGAAAATATAGGACGCTGGAAGGCTTCTTGGCAAATGTGCCCAGCATTACTCAAACAGCATAACAACATCTTAAGCAAGAGGCTGTAGTTTTTCTAAAGCCAGGCAGAGGAGGAAGAAAAATTCTGATTTTCTTTTCCCTTTGTGCTTGAAGAGTGACTTAGCACAAAAAAAGGCAGGGATTTGGCATTCATCCCTTTATTTCCAACAACTAATACATTTTTTAAAAATATTCAGTCCTTCCATCGGGGCAGATTTTCACTCTTCCATGCCTAGTTGCATAATCTTGCAGTAATGGTTCCAGTAAAAAAAAAAAACACTCTATATTGAGCTCAGTTTGGCTCACTTTGATGGGTTTTTTTTGGATTTAATGCCATTCTGTTATCAGCTGGAAGGCTAAATGCCAAGAGAAGTCGTCACTGGCCAGTCTTTTACATCTTTATAAAGATATCTAAGGTGCATTGTCAGAATTAGTCCCTAGAGGGAACCAGAAAGTATTTTCCTATAATATTCTGACTAATTGGGAAAGGCATTTCAGCAACAAATCATCTGCACAAATGGAACAAAGATAATAAGGACAATGGCAACCTAGCTGCTGAAAAATAATAAGTAAAGTTTTCAAAAGTCCTTGTAGAATATCACATTTCAAGTAGAGACTTTACAGTCCAGTGCACTATCCAGGTTTACTGCAGCTTTGGCAACAACAAAGAAGGCGGCCAAAATACCTTGTTATCTAGTATATCTTCAGAATTTTCCAATTAAATATTCTAAACTTAGACCAATTGCAGCTGGATTTCAGCATTTCTATTCATCTTATCTCCGATATGCAGATGATACCACTCTGATGGCAGAAAGTGAGGAGGAATTAAAGAACCTCTTAATGAGGGTGAAAGAGGAGAGCGCAAAAAAAAAAAAAAAAGGTTCAAAGCTCAACATCAAAAAAACTAAGATCATGGCCTCTGGTCCCATCACCTCCTGGCAAATAGAAGGGGAAGATATGGAGGCAGTGACAGATTTTCCATGCCTGGGCTCCATGATCACTGCAGATGGTGACAGCAGCCATGAAATTAAAAGATGCCTGCTGCTTGGGAGGCAAGCAATGACAAACCTAGACAGCATCATATAAAGCAGAGACATCACCTTGCTGACAAAGGTCCGCATATGGTTTTTCCAGTAGTGATGTATGTGTGTTCACTG